TAATGATTTTTGGCATAAAAGAAAAATCAATAATTTTGACCCATACAATGTATTTTTGGCTATTGCTACAAATACACCCCAGCGACTTAAGACTGCTTTTGTGCTCCAGGGTCACAAATAATCATAATCCATAATAAAGCTTCCTCCAGTGAAAAAGTCCATCGCACATCAAAATCCACCTACATACTTGTTTAGAACTATTTTGGACTGTTTATAAATGGAGCTTGATCTGTGCATATTTCTCTCCTGATTCAGACCAGATGCCTTTTCATTGGAAGAAGCAAAATTATTGATAGAGGGTTTTCACAGTGCCATATAAGAACCATTTTAGGTTCAAACATTTTTTTTTTCCTTAGTGTGAAGAACATTTTAATATTATAAAGAAACCTTTTACCCTCTTTTTGTCCAATAGAAAGGTTCTATGGATGTTAAAGATTCTTCATGAAATCATAGATTCCAAGAAAGCACCTTTGTTCCTAAGAGTTTACTGTACATAAACAAATGAATGCTAAAATGTTGATTTTGTTTCCTGTTGTTGCTGTCAGAGAGGTTAAGTCCACCGCTGGACATTCAGCTGGAGACGGTGAACTGCACTGCATTCAGTGTCCGGTGGAAAATGCCCCGTAGACACGTCAGCACTATCACTGGCTACAAGGTACAAATCCTGCCATCTTTTTAAATCATAAAATTGTGCTTTAACTGTTAAAAAAAAAAAAATCGGTGCCTCTCTGCTAATTGCATAACATATTGATTGTTTGATTCAATTCAATTCAAGTTTATTTGTATAGCGCTTTTTACGATACAAATCGTTGCAAAGCAACTTTACAGAAAATTAAGTTTCTACAATATTTAGTTTGATTCCCAGTGTTTATCATATGACAGTGATAACTAAATAACAGAGACACTGCTGCTCACTTTAGTCAGACAAACCATTTTTTCCACCAAAATGGGTCCTTTATTAGTGTTAATTTTGTATCATTGAGATACTATTACAGTTTTTATTAATATTTTCAATTTTTCAATTTTATTTTAAAAATGTCTGTATAATTTTTATGATTTTTTATTTCAGTTTTAGTTATTTTAGTCAAATCCTTTATCAAGTATTTTATAAAAAAAAAAAAAAAAAAATCAGAGTATAGTGATTGCGAGGCTTCAGTGTAACTTTACCACAGTTGAAATGAACAATTTGACTTCAGCAGAAATGTTGTTTCATCTTACAGGGACAGTTTGACGGCCAAGCCAGCTTTGTGAGTGGATGTTCAGTATCTGTTTCTCTGTTAGTGCCATATGGTGCTGTCTTGCATGCTAAGCTGTTCCCGTGTGTCTGTTAGGATGTGGTGATCGGGAACCTGAAGGTGGCCACGCAGTACCGTGTCAGTGTGGGGGCGTACGGCTGGGCAGGGGAGGGCCGACCCAGCATGCCCCGGGACATCAGCACTGGCTCTCTTGGTGAGCAGACAAACCCCAAAACATGCATTTTGATCAGCATTACTGTGCATTTAGCTCATCCGGTTTCTTAAGTAACAGAAATAATCAATGTACAGGAAATTATTCTCTTATTTTGTAGAAAAGTGCATGCCTCCTGCACCTCCGACCCAGCCTAAAGTGGTCCCAGTGTCAGACACAGAACTGGCGTTGTCATGGCAGCATGGAGAGAGTGAAGGAAGTGCACCTGTGCTATACTTCCTTGTGGCGTATATCAGGTAATTGATCAAATATAGATAGATAGATAGATAGATAGATACAGAAAGAAAGATCAAGATTTAAAAATTGCTTTTCCATGTGAGAAACATTTTCAGTCGACTTCAGGGACAAAGTCACATTGTCTTAATCTTCATTCATTTAATTTCAAAGAATGAGTTTTCTGCAAGTTTTTCAGTGCATTTGTTGGCTTTGACTGATGTTTCTGCGTGTGATCTTTACCCTGTCGGGCCATGTATGTCCGCATGACTCATGAAACTAATGCATTTCTGTGGTAGTTACTGTTCTAGAACACAACTAACCCATTCAGACCAGTTCAGCACACAGTCTGCATGGGCACACACATCAAACTACTGAGCCACATCACACAACCGTCTGAATTCTTGGAAAATGACTGATGATTGCTGTTCCTCTTTCTTTATTATTACATTTGAAAATAATAGTAAAATCATGAAAGCTATATGAAATTATAAAAATGGTTGCTTCATCTAGATTCCATCTTCATGAAGTGCAACTTGTTATCCTTTTAAAACCATTATATCCATATATTGAATGCTAAGCATTTGTTTTCTTGTTATTACATTAAATTAAATTAAATTATTAGCTTTGTAAAGAAATTCATAAATCAGTTGACATGATTCCTATTTATTTATAATTATTTGTATTTATCATATTAACATACATCTTTAGATCTAATGGTCTTTCTCAAGGCCAGTTAGTTGATTAATTACAATTGATTAATTGATTACATAATTAATTGCACAAAAATTTATATATGAACATTTATATATTCAATAAAAAACAAATATATAAAAATATTCAATATTGTATAGTAGTCTTATGCCCGGTTCAGACTACACGATTTTAGCCCGATTCGTAAACGACAATGGGCCTCGGGACGCAAGATCGTTTCAGCACGTGTAGTGTGTCATAGTGGACGACAACCGATTCCGCGTCTGCGATGCTTCACAACATCACTACAGACAGACTAGCATGTTTAATTTTTTTTCCGTCGTCCACGACGAGTTCCGTCACATTGGTGACGTTGACCAATAGCAGCACAGAAGCTCTTTCATACACAGGTTTCAAACATGGCGAAACGAAAGAGAGACGATGGTGCTGCTAGGTGGAATTATGAGATGGAGGAAAGGTTCAGAAAGGACAGAATAAAGAAAGAAAAATGCTGGCGAACTATAGCGGAAGCACTCCAGCAATGTTTACACTCTTGTTTTCGGAAGTCAGCCGCTAGTTCCGCCTTCTCGATGACTTCACGCGCGTCGTTAAAGACGGCACGCGATGAATGGTCGGGAAGCAACGTGTAGTCTGACATGTTTCTTGTCCACGACACGACAAGAGTTTAGGAGTCAAAATCGTGTAATCTGACACAGTGACTATCGTGACCGACAAAAATATCGTGTAGTCTGAACCCGGCATTAACAAGTCCATATATTGTCTGTTTTACTCTATTTCTTGTCATTGAACAGAAGCTTTTCACTGACCTAAAGTGCACAGCTCAGTTCTTAACTGTAATTAAAACTAAAATCATACAAAAAATGTTACTTGATATAAAATAAATGTTAACTGAACTAAAATAAAACAGCTATAGTTGTCAAGGCAACATTTCTCATTTTCGTTATATACTAATACTAATAAATAAAAATGTTTAAATTAAACCCAAAGACTAAAGAAAATGACAAAAAAAAAACGAACAAAATTTCTAAAACAAAATTTCTTGTAACTAAAATTAAAGTGAAAACAGAAAATAGACAGCTAAAATAAAATAACTAAGAAATAAAAAGAATAAATTCACTGAAGTGTGTCCAGACATTTGACTGGTATCCTGCTGTACATTTGTGTTAAGTATATGTGCATTTGGGTGTGAAATTAGCATGTTTGTAATCCTCATGGATAATTATGCAACATGATTGTCGGACTGTGTCCTCCAGCAGATTTAGACTCACTCCCCCCAGAGACCGTCTGCTTCTCAGATTAACAACCTTTCAATTTAGCCTCTCTTTACCATGAACAACACAGAACTGCAGATGTGTTTAATGGCACTATCAATTCTTTCTCAGTCTTCAGTGCATTTGCTGCTTGCGAACTAGAATGTTTTCATTTTGACATATGGAGTTTTGATTATTAGTGGTGTTTAATACACTCTTAAAAATAAAGGTGCTTAAAAGGTTCTTCACAGCGATGCCATAGAAGAACCATTTGTGACCCTGGACCACAAAATAAGTCATAAGGGTAAATTTTTCGAAATTGAGATTTATACATCATCTGAAAGCTGAATAAATAAGCTTTCCATTGATGTATGGTTTGTTAGGATAGGACAATATTTGGCCGAGATACAACTATTTGAAAAGCTGGAATCTGAGGGTGCAAAAAAATCAAAATACTGAGAAAATTGCCTTTAAAGTTATCCAAATGTAGTTCTTAGCAATGCATATTACTAATCAAAAATTAAGTTTTGATATATTTACAGTAGGAAAGCAATGCATACTACTAATCAAAAATTAAGTTTTGATATATTTACAGTAGGAATTTACAAAATATCTTCATGGAACATGATCTTTACTTAATATCCTAATGAGTTTTGGCATAAAAGAAAAATCTATAATTTTGACCCATACAATGTATTTTTGGCTATTGCTACAAATATACCCCAGCGACCTAAGACTGCTTTTGTGCTCCAGTGTCACATTTTTGGTTCCACAAAGAACCATTCAGTCAAAGGTTCTTTAAAGAACCATCTCTTTCTTACCTTTTTATAATCTGAAGAACCTACTTTCGCCACAAAGAACCTTTTATGAAACAGAAAAGTTCTTCAGATGTTAAAGGTTCTTTATTGAACCATTTAGACAAAAAGGTTCTTCTATGGCATCGTGAAGCACCTTTGTTTATTTTAGTACTATCCTGCTCATACTCAGGTTTAAGGATTTCTAATTAAATGCCTGAATTTGAATTGAGGTTGAAAGCAGGATGCAGTATTTCAATTTGAATTTGAATGCAAAGAAGAAGAATAGAAATGAATTTTCAAAGAAATATTCACATTTTAAAGATATTCAAAGAAAAGTATATGAATGTAATGTGTGAAGTGCCACCTGTAGAAATTTGCATGTATATATTTCATCATATTTGTCAACTTAACTTTTGTCAACCAAAGGACCAGCGTGCTATTTTATTATTATTTACATTATTTCATAGCTCTTATTTTTACATTTTCAGTTTTCATTTTAATTTTAGTTTTATTTTGTGTTTGGGATTTAGTTCTTTTTATTATTATACAGTATATATTTTTTATTTTTCTGTTAAGTTTCTAAATAAATAAATAATAGTTAGTTAGTTGCCAAGGCAACATTTCTCATTGTTAAGTTTTTAAGTGTAAGATTTTTTTTAATATTTATATTTTATTTTATTTCAGCTTTACTTCATTTAAGGATTTAAATCTGCCCTGTCATTTTTAAATTTAATTTTAGATTGTTTTAGTCATTTTGTTTGTAATTTTGTAATTTTATTATTGCTATTTTTTAATATTTCAATTTAGTTTCTCAATAAATAAATAATAAAAAAATATTATATTTTTTTTTCAGTTTTAGTTGTAGTTATTTTGCTATTTCAACTTTAACTTAAAAAAAATGTTGCCTTGGCAACAAACTGAAATAAAATTTAGTTGCTAATGTAACTTTTCTCATTTTCGTATAAGTTTTAGAGTGTAAGATTTTCATTCAATGTTTTATTTTATTTTAATTCAACTTTATTTCAATCAAGTTGAGGATTTAAATCCTGCCTAACCACATTGTCACCTGCCTAACAATAAAACCTGCAAAAAGTTCCATGAATTTGTTGTGAGGGCGAGACCTAAAGTCATAATTATAAACTTGGGCTGGACCCTAGCATAATCATTGCAAATTTGTCTTCATATTTTCTTTAATAAAATCTAGTAGAGTTTTAGTGTTACAAGTGTGTGTGTGTGTGTGTGTGTTGCAGACCGGAGATGGACACTGAGTGGACGCACATCAGAGAGCCAGTAGAGTCGAACTCTATGGTGCTCAAGGGTCTGATTCCTGAGACGGAGTACCAGTTTATCATCAGAGCTGTGAACGCACACGGCATCAGCCCTCCCAGTGCCATCAACAACCCCGTGCACACTCTCGGTGAGTTACAGTGCGGTCAGGACAGGACCTTATGAGACCCTCAGGTCTGGCTACTGTAAGGTTACTGGTTCACCATTGTGATAAAAGGGTCTAAAGGACTATACTTAAGTGTGTGGTTTGCATGGTTTATGTTGTGATCGTTATAGTTTGGATGCTCCTCACAGGTTTGTTTGCATGCATGGTGGCTGGAAAGACCAGATGAATTAAATGAAGCATCTTAAAGCCTGTTCATTTTGAGGAAGATGCTCCTCTTTGTCACACAAACACCACAAGGAGGAAGATTACAGCTAGTTACCTTCCCAAACCCTCCAGCAGACAGATTAAGAACAGAGACCCCCCAAACAAGAATTTGCTGCTTAAGTTTTGTTGGTCTAGACATCCAACCAGTTAGATCCACCCAAAAACAACTGGATTTAGACAACCACTGACCACCTCATGTGTTACTTTTAGGTACAAAATTAAATTTGGGTCAGTTCTGAAATGTAAAAGTGCATTAAAACAAAGAGTAATTGCAACATTTGTTACAATTTAGTCCCTGTTTTGGGAACTGAATTGAGCATGTCATTTAAATTCTAATGTAATACCTGAATTTGAATTGAGGTAGAAAACAGAATGCAGAATTAAAATGTGAAATCAAATGTAAAGAAGAATTGAAATGCATTTCCAAAAGAAACACAAATTTCAAAAATATTCAGAAATATAGAAATTTACATTTAGTTGGTATATTTCATATAAAAAAAAAGCTTTTGTTGACCAAGGTGCAATAGTGTTATTTTAGTATTATTTATACACTTTTATAGCATTTATTAATATTTTAAATTAGCTTTTATTTTCATATTTTTGGTTTTCATTTTAATTTGAGTAATTTTGTTTGTACTCATTTTTAATATTTCTATATAGCATTAATTTATTTTTTATTTCAGTATTAGATTTAGTAATTTTAGTACTTATTTTATTTCGGATAGTTGCAAAGGCAATATTTCTACGTTTTTTTAAAGTATTTATTTATTATTTATTTATTTTTTAAAAGTAAATTTTATTTTATTTTATCTCAGCTTTTATTTCGATTCATGAAAATTACGTTTTAGTTTATTAACAACGCTTGGGTTACTCTTGTCATTCCAATTCAGTTCACCTCTTCCTGTACACACAGACCCAATTTCTTAAAAAAAAAACAAAAAAAAAACTGTGTGCAGTCGGAATCTATGTTTCTAGTATGTTTTTGAAATCTAAAATCAGGTGTTTTGTGCATGAAATCATGATGGTTTTTTTCCTGCTTACTTACTGTACTTGGTATGAGGTCAAATGACTGAAATATACACTGCTTTATTTAAAAAAAAAAAACAGGTTCAGCAGATATAGGCAGTGGAGACTATGACGTCTACATCTCAAACTCTGACAGTAAAGATGAGGACGGCTTTGAAATCGATGACTCAGATTATGACGTCTTCATTGAGGAGGTGAGCCATCTTTTATGTTGTTAAAGAAACCTAAAATTAAAAATGCAAAAGTCACGGAAAAAAGAGAGAACTTGAATTTTTTTTTTTACAAAGAATGTGTTGTTATTTAATCTTTCTGGCTTTCATCTGTACATTTCTTGCAGATAAAGTCGTTAACTAGCAGTAAGAAAAGCGGCAGACGGTCTCAGCTCCGCACCCGCGTCGGGACTCCCAGAAACGGAAATGTTATTTATAGGATGCGTACACCTGTTTCCCAAAATATCAGCTTCACTCCAACAGCAGCGGCAGCATGGACCACATCAACAACTCCTGTAACCACAACAACGCTCACTAGCTCCGCCTCCAGGACAACCACCACACCTGTTATACTGACAGGCTCCGCCCCCACCACGCCTTCTCCCAGTCCGTCAATGACGCCGTGGAAAGGGCAAAGACCCCGGGTCTATGATGTACCATGTGACGAGACGGTCTGCCCCCCCGACAGCTTCTGCATCAACGATTACGACACTGGAGGCTCTCGATGTCACTGCAACCTCGGTCACCAGGGAGACTTCTGCTCAGAAGGTGAGTTAATTTTCTGAATGACGTAAATCAGTACATACTGTATTTGATGTTTAATATTAACTGCCAGCCAAAAGTTTGGAGCAAGTAAGATTTTAAAAATGTTTTTGAGATAATCGCTTCTGCTCACCAAGGCTCCATTTGATCAAAAATACAGTAAAAATAGTAATATTGTGGAATATTATTGTAATTTAAAAGAATTGTTTTCTATTTTTTTAAATGTAATTTATTCCTGTGATGAATTTTCAGCATCATTACTCCAGTCTTCGGTGTCACATGATCCTTCAGAAATCATTCTAATATGCTGATTTACTGCTCAATAATTATCAGTTATTATGTGCTCAATTACTGATTACTGATTCTTGTTAGAAAGCAGTTCTTTCGTATTCTATGAATAGCATAAATACTGTATATTTACTGTCATTTTTTAAACCAATTTACTGCATCCATGCCAAATAAAATTATTGTCTTTTTTTTTTTTAATCATACTTACCCTATATTTTTGAATGGAAGTGTATCATGAGATCCACAAAAATATGAAGCAGCACAACTGTTTTCACTATTCATTATGATCATGTGACACTGAAGACTGGAGTAATGATGCTACAAATTCAGCTTTGCATCACAGC